AAGAAAAAATATTAAGATCAATTTTTTTAGAAAATAATTTTCTTATCAAGGATATAATATTTTTTATTTTTTCTTCATTTATCTCACACAAATCATATCCTATTTAAATAATATTTATTTTACTATATTTTCATCTTATTTTTATTATTATCAGTCATTACCTTTTTATTATAATTTTTTAAAATTTTAAGTATTATTTACAATTACCATAATAACCTTTGTAATTGTAATTATCTTTCTTTCTTTCATTAAAAAACTGTTATTATTAAAAAATTTATTATATATTTATTATATTCACTACTGCGAGAAAAGGCTTTTTACATCGGTTAAAATGGGCTTTCGACGTCAGTTAAAGCGGCGACATAGATACGGGGGTCATAGAAAGTAAGGCTTTCTACGTCGGTTAATAGGAACCGACGTAGAAAGCCCTACTTTCTTTGAGCTATTATGATCGGTCAAACTGGTTATGATCGGTCATAGAGCTATTATGATCGATCATAACTGGTTCTGATCGGTCAAACTGGTTATGATCGGTCATAGAGCTATTCTGATCGATCATAACTGGTTCTGATCGGTCACAAAAAGACTTTCTACGTCGGTTAGTCAGGGAACCGACGTAGAAAGTCTTATTTTGTATGAGCTATTCTGATCGGTCATAACCGGTTCTCGATCGGTCATGAAGCTAATCTGATCGATCATAGGCTGATTCCGACTGTCGTAATACTTTCTATGTCGGTTAACACTTATAACCAGACATAGAAAGTCTTACTTTCTATGTCGGTTAAAATTATAACCGACATAGAAAGTACTTTCTACGTCGGGTAATGACATAACCGACGTAGAAAGTGTTATTTTTTTTTTAAATACCTGCATTTTATTTACAGATGCTATCTTTCTTCGAGTAGACCTGCCTATTCATCACAGTTCCAGACAAATAACCACAGATCCAGTACAGACAGATATGCACAGTTCATATATAAATTTGCTACAGATATATATCCAATACAGACAGATTGACATGCTGGAGGCAAGTATGTTCGGTTACCATGAGGTTGAGGAGTTAATTGTTCTCTTATACCCATTTCAACCATGTCCAAACGAGCATTGACACCATCTTTTGTTTTTCCTTGAATGTTAAGGAGCGTTCCGATGATACTGTCACACACATTTTTCTCTACATGCATGACATCTATACAATGCCTCACATCAAGAACCCTCCAATATGGAAGAACAAAAAGGATTGACATTTTCTTCCATATACCTGTGGCTTTCTTTGCGTCTTTCCAAACTCACACGAAATTGCACTTACTCGTTGATATACTTCTTCCCCACTTAAAGGTGTTGGGGCTGCATCATTTTCTTGACACCCGTTAAATGATTTTTTTAATTTACGATATGAATGGTTTGAAGGAAGAAATCTTCGGTGTCCAAGGTACACTGTTTTCCTTCCATGTTGTAGTTGATAGTGACATGTGTCTTCTTCACATATCGGGCAAGCTTTATGTCCCTTTGTGCTGTAGCCACTCAAATTACCATATGCTGGAAAATCATTAATTGTACAAAATAACATTGCACGCAACTTGAATAAGTCACCTGTGTACCCATCAAACACATCAACACCTTCCTCCCACAACATCTTCAACTCTTCGACCAATGGGCTTAAAAAAACATCAATGTCATTTCCAGGTTGTCTCGGGACCCGAGATCATCAAAGATAGCATCAAGTACTTACGTTTCATACACAACCACGGAGGTAAGTTGTAAATAACTAACACCACAGGCCATAAACTATGTTTCTTGCTTAAATTTCCATATGGATTTATTCCATCCGTAGCAAGTCCAAACCTAATGTTTCTTGGATCATTACCAAAATTCTGGAAGATGGAATCAATTTTTTCCATTGCAATCCATCTGCGGATGCCTCAACTGACCATCTTTAATACGACTATCTGCATGCCATCTAGTGAGCTTTGCATCATTTCCATTAGTGAATAATCGTTTCAACCTTGGAACAATGGGAAGATACCATAACACTTTTGCCGAGGTACCCTTCATAACATCATTGTCAGAATCACCATCCTTCTTCTTGTATCGTGATTCCCCGCATTGTGGACATTCGTGACAGCTTCTCAAATTCTTTCCTGTACAACACACAATCATTCGGACATGCATGAATTTTTTGGTACTCCATACCCATTGGACACAATATCTTCTTAGCATCATAATTGCGGGTTGGCAATGTGTTACCTTCAGGGAGCATGTCACTCAACAACTCAAGCAATTTCGTGAAACTTTTATCGAGTCCACCCATTCTTTGCCTTCACATTGAACAATTTTAGTACCGCCGACAATCGTGTGAACTTAGTACAATTTGTATACAAAGGCTCTTTTGCATCATTGGACAACTTCTCGTACACATGTGTGTGTTGGAAGGCATCTTGTCCAAACTCACGAATCATTTCCTCCAGCTCGATCATCCATCTCTAGATCAACTTCTTCTTTGTCTTCTACACTTGGCATGTTTAATAATTCACCATGCCATGTCCACTTTATGTAACTCTTTAGGAAACCATCACAAAGAACATGTTCCCGAATAACTTCGATCGGTAATCTTCGCTCATTCAAGCAGTTAACACAAGGGCAATAGAATCTTCCATCATTATCCGGAACATTCATCTTAGCAAATTCAAGGAATTGTTCTACTCCACTCTCATATTCATTTGTTGTTCGTCTATAATTGATCCAACTCCGATCCATTGTTACAAATCTAATTTTCAAAATCAAATTAGCTACGAAACACGAAATAACTACATTATAATGCCTACACGAAATCCAACTCCACTCTCAAAATAACTACATTATAATACAAATCTAATGTTCAAAATCAAAATCACGAAAGAATGCCTACGAAACACATTCAAATGACTAAACTACTTACAATACATCTTTAAATTAGCTAAAGGCACCAGTGATGTTTCCCTCTCTTGACGAGCATTATTACTTACTAGATTCAATATTGTAAACCTACATTGGCTAAAGCAAGCACGAAAACTTACCTCTTGAAGACCTACGAGAGGTGGCGGGTGGCGTGACGTGCGGAGGCCGGGTGGGGAGAAACGTATCCCGGGCGACGGGCACCGGTAGCGACGGGCAGCACGAAGCGTTGGCGAGGTGGCATGACGAGCAAATGTGGGTGCGGAGAAACGTATACAAGCGAACGGGGAGCTCGGTATGGGTGAACCGATGAAAGGAAATGGAGCGTAGGGAGAAACGTACGGGGAGCTCTGCTATGGGGGAAGTGATGAAATGAAATGGAGCGCGGGAGGAGGGTAAAACAGAAGATACTATGTCGGTTGCCCTAACACCCGTCATCAAAGACACTTTCTACGTCGGTTAAAATTTACTCGACATAGAAAGTTCACTTTCTACGTCGGGTAAATGTTACCCGACATAGAAAGTTCACTTTCTATGTCGGTTACATTTTAACCGACGTAGAAAGTGAACTTTCTATGTCAGTTAAATTTTACCCGACATAGAAAGTGACATTTCCACTTACTATGTCGGTTAAAACTTACCCGACATAGAAAGTTTATGATTTTATTACAAAATTGCCACCGCGCCACATACTATGACGGGTGGATTATGACCGTGATAAAAACTCGTCATAGAAAGTTATTTTTCCACTAGTGATTATTGTATGATAAAAATAATTATTTTATTAAATTTAATTAAACTCGATTAAATTTCAATTGAATTTTGAAACCGTAAATCTATATCTTCATAATGTGGTTTTAAAAATATTAATTAATACTAATGTCTTTCAAAAATAAAAAGCTAAATACCTAAATAAGATTTATTCACATGTTTTAAGTTGAGAGAAACGGTTATTAATTGATTGTAGGCAATTAACCTCATTGCTCTTGAGTTAATTTATACAGTAAAATTAATTAATATTTTGGAGATGAGAAGATATTGGGAGAGAGAGATGATTATAGTAATTAGCAGGAACCAATAACTCTTAATAATGATGGTGGGAGTTGCTGGTTTTGGGCCTCATAGTTTCTACTGAGGGTTGGCATGAAAAAAGAAAGCGTAATGATTGAATGAAGACAAGAATTGAATTGGCAAACGCATTAATGCGGAAGCAATTACTGTCCCGTGACTGTCAAACAACCGTAATCATCTAGTCTGCCTAGTAGGAATACATTATCATTACTCTTCTCCCTCTTCAAAACACAATATCTTCTCATATCTAACCCATTTTAAATACTTCTTTTTCTAATTAAACAATATATTAACTATTTTTTTCACAATTAATTTTAATTTATTTACATTTTTTATTTTAAAATCATTTTAAATAATATCATAAAATATGTGTATTAATTTCGAGAAAGTAGGAGTTATAGGATTGATAGGAAATTAAATAAAGATAAGTAAAAGAAATGAATAAGATAAATAAGTTTATTTAATTCCTAAAAGTCACTAAATATAATAAATGTATGATAATGCTTAATCTTATCATAATCTTTGATTCGTATTTCTTTATAAAAATATATCAATCAATATATTTGAAATATAATCTTATTTTGTTATAATTGAAATCAAATATTTAGTTTATCTTAAATTATGTTTTTAAGACTTTTTAGTATATTTATTTCTTATATAAAAAGAAAATGTTTGAATTTTGTATCTAAAATTTAAGAATGTGAAAGTGAGTAAGTTGAAATCAATTTATATTTTTTGGAAAAATATTTATAACATATATGGATTTATCACATTAACATAGTTGACTCATATAGTATTTTTAATTATTATTTTTTTGTTCTTCATTTAATTGTGATTAAATTAGTAAAATTTGTTTATATTTTAATTTTTGATACTTATTATTAAGTTCGAAAGAAATATTCTTTAGTTGAAGTTTATTAAAAAATATATTATTTTGTTAATATTCCATATAGAAAATTACTTAGGATTTAAAGTGTATAAAAGTAATGCAAAACCTTTTAATATCAATTTTATAAGAAACTCTTATCAAGTGATATTTTTGCTTTAAGTAAGTCTTGTCATCTTAATATTATTTAATATTATTATATTATATCAAATTTAAATAATTTTATAATTTTTTATTTTATAAATTTAAAGATTAATTTGATGTTGTCATAAATTAAAAAAATATTTTTTATTTACCTGTAATTTTATAGGAAATTTGAATCTTAATGTATAGACTCTCATGCCACATAACATATTCTAATGAAAAATTCTCATGACCTAACCAACTAAAATATTAACTATTTTTATCAATGATGTGGATTGAAACACAATATACTATGATATTTTTTCATTAAAATATTTTCTATGTCCTTCATTGTAAAGCTTTCTTGATTTTTTTTCTTTAATCTAGTTTATTTAAAGGTCTTTGGTCCACAAAACAGTTTGTTTCAACTTTACCCTTTTTATCTCTTCCCAATGTCATTTCTTTTCCATACATTCTATCTTTTCAAGGTTGATCTTTTATCTGTGACTAATTCGTAAAAATTGGGGCATTTATGTGCTTTTAGTTAAAAAAAAACAGAACTTTTTCTGTAAAATAACAATGACAAAATTAGATAAAAACCAAAAACCAAAAGAAATAAGGGACCAACATCATTCAATTTTAAATACAGTTAAAATCATCATGTTCAGATTGTTCTTATTTTGGACAGAAGTTTTCAACCAAACCCAACCAAGTAATTGAAAAATGTTATTTCAAGTCAAATTATTGACCTAACAGTCTATTTATATAAATCAAATATTAAAAAAATCAATTTAAAATAAACTGTAATTTTTTCTAAACTTAAAACACTTAAATGCAATGTTTATATATATAATATTTTGAGAGTAAATCTTACCCCAACAGAATTAAGAGAAGGTAGAATAAAAATGTAGTGATAAAGAACATTTTATAAAGCCACTAACTAATGTAGAGGGTGAAGTTGACATTATCTTGAAAAAGGTTTAATCCTTCTATGCAAAAATAACTGGTTTTACAGTTGGACATTACCATCATAGATCCAATGTCACCATGGTGACAACACATTAGTTGCCTCTTCTCACATATCTACTTGACTACTGACAAAATTTGGGACACAACATACAGTTTAGAGACTCTAAACAAAATCTGATATTTCATACAATTACATGACAACATCCAGAGTAACATCTCCCCCAAACCCCAAAATGACCAACCAAAACCCCTATGTTCACTAACTGGGGACAAAAGTCCAACTTCTACCATGAAATTCTATATCAGAAAGAGGATCTGATATATGTAAAGAATGAAACGAGAGGAGCTGATAAAGGAGCGTTGTTTTAACATAATCATTGAAAAGTAAAGCGCTTTTTGCTGCATGGCCTAACCATGATCATTTCATTTCATAGGTTATAAAAGTGTGTGAAAAGGTTTGTTTAATTAAACATGTGCTGTGATCTTTAAGATTCATCTTTGCCAGCAATGCAAAGCCAACCAGCGTATCCAAGTCCTCGAGAAAAAGTCAAGGCAGGCAGTGACTAAACAGTAATTTCATATCAGGGGGGGAACATTTTGCCAACTTTTTACAGTTTTACAAGATATCTGAATTTACTTTTCATCAACTTCCTCAATCCTTGGTCCACCACACAGGTGGAGTTGGAGTTTCGCCTAGAGAGCTACTAGGTTCAGATTTCAGAAAAAGGAAACCAAATAACACAAGCGAAATGTACAAGAAAACAAAATCCTTGGGGTGTTATGTTACTGTTATCCCTCATTATAGTATAGCTGTGAGAGGAGTGGCAAGGGCAGGTCCATCATCCATGCCATAATAATGAAATGGTCCCATAATTAAGGTAAATTCCTAGCACACTGTGGAACCGTACACACTTGGAACCAATTTCAAATTGCATTTGCCGTTAGCTGTGAGATGCATTGTACACAACTTATCTTCCCTTGCGCACCTCCGAGCTCTGGGGGGCCACCCTCCCCCTGTCCCGTGTTTCCATTACACTACACCACCTACTATTTATCACACACATTTCCATCCAATCAAACTCCATCATCATTATCTTCTCCAAGCTAGCTTTCTTCGTCCTCCTGCACCCTATTTCATTAATTTTTATTCAAAATATGCCAACTTATCTCTCTACAGAGCCCCATCCTAATAGTATGTATGGGAAAAATAAAGAAATGAAACACAACACATTCTTCAGTCTATTGCGATTTTACAGTTAACTTTACCACTAGATTTAAACAACACAAATACTATTATAGTACAAGAAAGAAATGGTTTTGTTACAAAGCAGACAAGAGTTACTGACTTTGGACGAGGGTCACGCGCCATGAAAGAGTGCGCCTTGCATTGAAATAAGGGCGAGAGGGTTTTAATGTCAATGTGCAATCATGAGCCTAACTTGACGTTCAGAGTCCTCGTGGAGCCTAGAAAGAAATAGACGTACTGGACTAGACAGACACTAGGGAAGGGAAGGGTTTGGCATCATTTTTTAATGCTGACACCCATCTGCTTCATCTGATGCTGCTTACTACATATGCAGTGTATTATTAGCAAATAAGCAACACGAATAACCCAAAGCAACTTGTTTTTTCTCAATCAAAATGGCAACAAGACAGGCATGCATGGAACTCAGACGAGACACGGACGCTGATTTATATACATCTCTTTAATATGCAGTTAGTCATATCTAAGGCAACCAAATGAACATAACATGTGAACATAGTTATAACCGAGGCAGATGAAATATCTCTCTGAAATTTTATGAAAAATCATTTCTGCATAAAACCTAAACTTGATTTAAAAATGAATAGAAAAAAATATTGACATCCCATCTAATCACGTCTCATTAGTCTACACAAGATAGATCCACGGAGGAAAAAAAAAATGAAAACTTTTTGTATTAAATGATCAAATATAGGAAGAAAGAGATTAGGGTTTTCATCTCCCAACCCAACCAACAATTGTTAAGATTCAGCGAGTAAAGAACACAACACAACCTAAGACAAACAAGCAAAATTAGGGCGTGTTAAGGTTACCTTCCTTCATCATCGATCAAATTTAGCATCGGTAGCCAACTTATTAAAAGCAAACCATAGCTAAGTTCCTGCACAACACAAGTATGTAAAAGAAAAAGGAAAGAAACAACAACAAGCAATATCGTGGTAACTAATAATCCTTTTGGGATCGTATGTTCATAGTTATGAAAGATTCAGATGGTAAAGTGGTAAATAAATATCATGAAGGCTTTACAAAGAGTAGCGAACAGAACTCAGTTGACAGTATGCCCACCTCCAATGATATGGACATATGAAGTGTTCCACTCAGAGAGAGAGAGGAAGAGAGAAGAGAAGAAAGTGGAGGTGGACAGAATGCCAATAAACTCTGTTAGAAACACTTTGCTAAACCCGCATGAAGAGATGACAAAGAAAACTGTGTAGAAACAGCATGAGGTGTGGAGAAATGATGAAGAAGAAGAGGATGTGAATTGTGATGCTTGGAGACTTGGCTGAGACAGGTATTTAAGATGTGATGGAGCATGTCTTACTTAGAATAAATGAGAGAGAGAAATTGTTTAATTAATTATTATAATAGCATGGGGTTATTGCATTGGTGAAAAGCAAAAAGGAGAAGGGAAGGCAAAAAGATGGAGAAGGGATTGAGATTAGATAGGTGATAGAGTAAAGAGTAGAAACATAAAAGGATGATCATATTTATTCTTTCTCTCTCGTTCTTGATGCAATCAATCCCCTCGCCGATTCTCTATCCCTCAGCCCTCGATTCTGATGACATTTCACCTACAAACCACATTTGTCTCTTTCATAATTGTTACTCTGTGCCTATGCCAACCATTCCATATACATACTCTAATTTTTCTTTTACTTTCCCCTTACACTTCTTCAACTACTACAGTACTATTGCTACCATGTTTTGTTGGATAATGATGTACACGAAAGTCAGACAATGAAAAATAAAAAAAATGAAAGAAAAAAATTATAAATTATTTTATTAAATTATGAAAATAAAAATATATATCTATTATCAAAATATTTTTAATTAAAATTTTATTATAGAAACGTCTTTCTTATTTTAATATAATATAAATGTTAATAATTAATATGATTAAGATACTCAATGATAATTTAATTAATAAAATTGATGAGAGCAAACAAAATTGAAAATAAAACAAATAAATAAAAGTCCTTTGTTCAGGGGAAGGTTATAACAACTTATTAGGTAGGTTCAGTTTTGTTCAATTTTTATAAAATAATTATATGAATATTGAAATAGAATATAGTTTAATTTAATTTAATATAAAATATTAATAAAACTAAATTAATATTTTATGATTCAGTTTTAATTATTTTTCCATTTTTTATTATAAAATTATTAAATATTTTTTTATAAAATGTGATTCTATACAAATATTGTATATTATATAATAAAAAATTGTTACCTACAAAAAAGTTATGAATATAATAATATTTGAATTTTTAATTTCTCTTTCATTTATAAATAAATTACATAAGTTAATAATTAAAAATTATAATAAATTTATTATTTTATTTTAATAAATATAAATATATTATAAATAAAATACCTTCAAATTATAAATTAATCCTTAGAATATTAATTATATATATATATATATATATATATATATATATATATATACTTGATAACTCACCTAAAATCCTAAATTTTCTATTTATGTATAATAATGCACTTTTAAAAAATTGTGCAATTTATTATTGATCTTAAATTTGAAATCAAAATTAAATTATATAATTTACTAAAAAAATTGAAACCCTTTAATAAAAAAAGTTTATCTCAAAAGTTTTAATATTGTAAATGAATGTAATAGATGAGATAGAATAAAAAAAAATAGAATAAATATAATTACAAAGACAGATGTCTTTAATATCTTTAGAAAGTTTTTGGAGAGGTGTTTGTGTAACAAATTGTTAAGTTTAGAAAATTTTACATTTAGATTCTATTCTAATACAGTGTTATAGGAATTGTTGTTCAATTATATTTAGATTTTCCTTTAATAATATTTATCTGGTTAGTTATATAATAAAATGAAACTTTGAATATAAGTAAAAAAGTAATTCAAATACTTTACTAACTTTTATGATAGTTATAAAATTGTTAATTTAAATTTAATATTCATTGAGTTTGAATATCTCATATAAATGATAATTTATTGAATCATTATCTTAAAATACAATTGATATTTAATTTAATCTAAAATTTATTTTAAAATCTTTAGAAAATAATTTGAAAGTATTATTTATAGTATCTATAACATGTGCAAGAAGAAGATCTCTTAGGGAGCTATAATAATTTAGTTCTACTTTCACATAAAATAATTTAACAAGTCTTTTGTAGTTGTACAAAACATACTGTACTAAAAGCTTTGTTATTAACAAAATACAAATTTTATCCATTTAAGTCCTTTTTTTTTTTAGAAAACAATATTTTTGTTTTCAAACCAACAAACTACATTAGTGAGTTGTATGTTTATTGTGAAGTTTTTTTTGTTGTATTTTTTCTAATATTGAGGTAGCTAGTTTGACTAGTAAAATGACATGTAAAATAATCATTTCTATAATATTTTTTAGAATATTTGTTTATGTTTTTTCAATTTATTATATAAAATATTATTCATTATTACCCTATTATAAATTTGGTTAGTATGACAAGTTTTCACTTAATTATACTTAAATAAATAATCTCATAATTATAATATATTTTAGAGTATTTAAATTACTATATATTTTTTATTTAGTTAGAAATGGTAATTTAGTGTTTGAACTCATGCAAACACAAATAAGAAGAAAATATTATATTATTTTTTATTTGAAAGGATTAGAAACTCATTAATTGACATATATATGTCATTATAAACAAATTCTGTCTAAAACCATATTGACCAAAGCCCAATGGTCACCTTTTTGGTGAAAAATGGTTAAAATTTTGGAATAAAACTATCAATTTGTTAATGAGCAAAATTGTTTACTCGATTTTATTGTTTATGATTTAATTGTCTAGTGTATATGTTATTCAGGACAAAAATACTTTTATTCTAAAATTATAATATTTATTTACAATTTAATTGTAATTATCACTTTCACCTTCTATTAATTAAACATAAAACATTATTAAGTCAAACACAGGACGTTTTATAATAAATAATTTATTGGTTTAAATTTTTAAAAAATATGAAAAGAGTAATCTTTCAGTAGAAATAGACTAATTTTGAGAACATGGGTAAAATATATAATAATTATGATATATTTTTTTAATGAAATTAAAATATTTTATTTATTTTGTATTCAAAATTAATTATTTGAATAAAAAATAGTTAATTTTACAGTCTAAAAATTAATATTATTGAAATAGTTGCTATCGAAAAATAAACTTATCTTAACAATATAAAATAACGTATAATTAAATTTAAAAAGTATAGGATGATGTCACAATATATATATATATATATATATATATATATATATATATATATATATATATATATATCAATTTTTTTAAGACAAAGTTTTTTTTCTTTTTTAATAAAAGTAATTAAAAACTATAATTTTTTATTACATGTCTTTTAGAATTATATAAATTTGTTGGAAAATCAATAATAATAATAATAATAATAATCCTGATTTTGATTCTAACGATCAAACATAAACGTAATCCCATACTTGATAAACATGCCGTAAACTGAATGCAAAACGTACACTGAATTAGCCATAATGATGATGTCTTTGTAGAGCACTATATTGATCTTATGGTCTTCCACCTGAACAGCACATGTATTTCCTTCTTTATTTTCTCTCTTGATGGGGATAGAAAGAAAGGAACATGAATGAAACTTACGTTTTGTCTGTGTGCTCCCAGAAGGGGACCACGACCCCTTAAAATAACCAGAATTAGGTTAATTACTTAAGTTTTAGTATTTTCAATTTGACCCCTCATCAAATTAGAAATTGCTCAATGGTCTCTACACAATTTTATTTTCATGACATATGCCTTTAGCCAAAACTTTAATTTAGTCAGATCACTTTATTATTTGGCTTAATAAATAATGACCCTAACACATTTAAATTATGTATCATATATATACATGACCCAAATTTTGCCAACAATCTCCCACTGGTCACAAATATATATGTCCTTACAACCTTACAAATGTGTTAGACTTTATGAGCTCAAAATTGCCATTATATTCCTTTAGCATACTCCAAAAGTCTTGTCCATTAATCATATCAGAATATAGAACCAAACCAGCTTTTCATTGCATCATCGCAACTAAAACCAACAATGATTACTCATCTTGACATGGATTCATCATGAAATGTGTAGCATGAAAAATTATGTGAAGGTGATCTATACACGTCTATTTTCAACTGGTCCAAACTTTAACTTATCGAGATCGATATAATATCCTTAATGTACAAAGTGTAATGAATGAACGAAAAAACCGCATATCTATAGATAACCAAATATGTTCAAAAAACAATGTATACATATATGAAATTAAACATAGAACATAAAATATATGAAAGTGACAACTCCCACTAAACTACAAATTTCTCAAATTGTAAAACACCCATGTGAGCAACATGCTCATGAAAGACCTTGGACGAAAGTCCTTTAGTTAGAGGATCTTCTATCATGGAGTTTGTCCTTAAGTGTTCTATGAAAATCTGTCCACTTTGTACTCTTTCCTTAATAATACAACTATTTGTTGTCACAATATAACTTAAGTGGTCTTTCAATGGCTTTCACAATTTGCAGCCCTGAAACAAAATTTCTCAGCCATATTCCATGATTTGATGTCTCATAGCATGCTACAAATTCTTGATATCCTGCAAAATCTAAGTCAGAAAACCCAGCGATCTCCAACTGGTTTGACCTCCTGTATGTGAGCATATAATATTTTGTTCTCTTTAAATATCTTATGACCCTTTTTGCTGCTTTCCAATGGTCTATTCCTGGATTGCTAAAATATCTGCCTAGAACCCCAACTATATATGCTATGTCTGGATGCGTACATACTTGGGCATAGATCAAACTCCCTACAACTAATGCATAGGGAATCTTTTGCATTTCCTCAATTTCTAAATTCCCCTTTGGGCATTGATTGAGACTAAACTTGTCTCCCTTTAAACTTGTGATACACACAATCATCAACAATATTCATCTTGAAGCCAAATGAGTTTCATACCTTCTGGTAATGGGACAAGTTCCCAAACCTTATTGTCTTGCATGGACTTATACTTCTCCTTCATTGCTTCAATCCACTTTTGAGAGTTAGAACCTTGTATAGCTTGATAGAAGTTAACTGGGTCATCTTCCATTATATCATTATTTTCCTCATGTTCCTGAAGAAATACCATGTAATCATCCGAAATAGCACTTCTTCTTT